GGTATGTATGAGGATGCATTTTCTTAAAACATTAATAGCTTCTTTTCAAAATACATGGGTCTTTGAACTTGCAAAGCATAACAGTGACTTTATTGATAGATACTGAATCTTTTATGCCTTATGATTGAGCCATAATCCTGTTATTTGAGAGTTTTCTTATAAGAAGGATAGAAAAATACCCTTCATTTATAAGCAATGATGCATAGGCAACATTGAAATTCCAGTAGTGGCTTGTAGTGAAATAAAGAACATTGGACTACATTTCCTGTTAAAAGCATGACACCCATTAAGGAATCCATGTGTTACATACAGCAGTTTTGTACCAAAGACTGATCAGATTGGTCATCTGCTCAAGTACTGAGAATCATTAGGAATTACATGGGTAACAAAAATGTTATTTAAATAATTATATAAAGCAAAGAGAGTTTATCTATATTTAGAATGCTGTTAACTTCTCCAGTCTTTTTACCTCTTGAAGGGTAAAATGGTCTGTGACCAAAAGGTAAAAATAGTTAGAACTCCAGAATGAGAATGAAGCGCTAAGAGAAGTGTTTGCCATAGTTGGACAGAGACTGTCTGGTTAGTTAAAGGCTGTGAAATCCTTCACAGAAGTAGACCATAGACTTCACCACCACATAGTAAATTAAATTGATAGCATACCCCTTGGACCTTAAGAAACTAGGAGATGATGCTTTTTCAGTGAGTTATCAAATTCCTGTCCTGAAACTGTTCTTCATATTTTTTGAATCATGGTCTTAATTTCCCTTAAGAATTTGGTGAAGTATATGGCTCTCCCCAAATTTTGATTTCATTGTATTTAGAGACTACTAAAACCCATTTGGGGATTTTGAAAGGGAGTCTCCTCTTTTTCTCTCTTCTTTAATTTTCTTTTTTTATGATAGGCATTTAACCCATGCTAAGCATTCACTCTATCAGCTTAGTTAAACCTCCAGCCCCTGAAAGGAGTTTTTTAGTAGTGAGTGATACATAGGTCTCTTAAATGGATATGAAACTCCCAACAGTGACATTTGATAATTTTATCAGGTTCTACATAAAACCTGATGTTACTTTTTTGTGTATCTACTTTCACATAACTGTAAAGTAAAATCAGATTTATAAATTAAATCAATAGTAAAAACTGATAAAATTTAATTTCAGCAACATTAATGTGACAGATGATACGCTTTTGAAACTAAATTGCCATTCACAGTGTGACTATTATGCAGATAGTATAGAGTGAGTTTGAGCTGCAGTGTCACACCCCAAATAAAAATTCTTAAACTGTTTTTCTGTGCTTGTACTTTAAAACCTGTATTTGTTCAGAATGCTGTCATCTAATTTTAAGGTGCAGTCTCTTACTTAGAATCTTTCAACTTTATGATGATATGAAAATTATACATAGTCACTAAAAACTGCATTGTGAATTTTTACTTTTGATCTTTTCCTGAATGGCAGTGTGTGGTATAATACTCTCATTATGCTGGGCAGTGGCAGGGAGCCAAATAAACAGTCAGTGTTCTACAATGTACTGAGTTGCTAAGTTGTGATATTTTGTAGATTAAGTTTAATAAATGCATTTTTAACTGATAGTATTTTCAGCTTACAGTAGGTTTGTGGGGATATAACCCCCATCCTACGTCTAGGAGTATCTGTATAACTAATTCTGTTTCTACTTTGTTAGTATTAGCTGGCAGCAATAGCATTGCCATTTGATACCAACCCCCAAACACTGAAATCATAGGGGGATACTAAGTACTGAGTAATAAGGTGGCATTCAGATGATCCATACTTGATATCTGTTAATTTTATTATAGATCATGATGAAAATAAAGAAAAATTTAAAATAATTTTCCTTACAAACTATATCATTTCTAAGCCAAGTACGGTAGTGTAGACCTGTAATTCCAGCAGCTTGGGAGGCTGAGGCAAGAGGAGCACAATTTCAAAGCCAGCCTCAGCAGCTTAGCGAGGCCTTAAGCAACTTAGCAAGACCCTGTCACAAAATAAAATATAAAAGTGGTCTGGGGATGTGACTCAGTGGTTGAGGACCCCTGGGTTCAATCCCTGGTTACCACCCCCCTCCAAATACAAAGAGCTATATCATTTCTAGAAGAAAATTTCTGGTATCAGCAATATTAAAAGCTGCCTTAGCTAAAAGTGTGGAATTAAGGGGTCATTAAGATTTATTTAATGCAAAATAAATATAAAGAGTGCTTCTGTATTTTAGGAATTATCTTAGGTTTCAGGACTGTAACAAGTAAACCTTAATTCTTGACTATAAAACTTTTACTAGCTCATTAAAAGGTTAGTTGGGGAGAAAGGGGTTTAGTTAAGCATAGGTGAAATAGCAGCCTGATTAATAACTGCTTACCAAATGTCTACAGACATGTAAGCTAGAGGACTGTTTAGCTAAGCATTTGCTACCCTTTTTGTGTTTTTGTTTACAAAGCCTTGTTTCTATATTCCATAAGTTTCTTGCTATCTATTTCTATTTGTAATTCCCTCTATCTTACCTCCCCATGTGCCATTTACTATACTAGTAATATTCATTTTTTAAAAAACTAGTTATTGGAAGATTTTGACCAGTGGTCAAATTGGGTCAATTTAACCTGGAATCAATTAGAAATAAATACATTTAAAGAAGAAAAGAAAAAAAATGGATGATTTGAATAAATGAAAAATTAGTTATTTGTGCAATTGGTGTGCTAGTACTTATTCTACAGCAGGTAATAGACCTTGGGGTAGTTGTTATGATGAACATTCATACATAGATCATTTCTCCTTCTATTTGGAGCCCATGTCCCAAACTTGGCACAACTTTTATAAAATTCCAGAGAAGTTGCGACATAGTTTCTTTTCTTTTATTTGAGAATAGTGCTACTATCTTATATCGAATTTTACTTAAAGTTAATGTCATAATTACCTAATAGATTTTTTTTAACTACTCAACTTTCAAAGTTATATAAAATGTACAGCTTAATTTATTATTTATGTTTTTTCTTGTGAAAAAAAAAATGCCTAATGGAGTTGCCGTGAATGTGAAGTTTTTATCCCTTTAATATTTGATTTTACTAGTTTCTGGCAGTTGTGATCATCAGATACAATGAACATATAAATATCAATTTAGAGTATTCAAATGCTTTAAAAGTGGTTGTTTTAATATTTATTTTTGGAAAAAGTACTGACTTTTAATTTTTAGGTAGTATTTGAGGTTTGTAATATAAATATTTGTAAGCCACTTTTATTAAAGACCTAGTCATGAGGTAGTAAATGGCTTGATTTAATTTTGAAAAAGTTCTGTTGGAATAAATAATAATAATAGAAACTAACATTAGATGTTTATTGTGCTCCCTGTACTGTGCTATTAGTTGTTTTTCCTTTCAATTCTACTTTGTGAGATAGTTAGCAATATGATTCTGTTTCGCAGTTTAGAAAGTAAGATTTAGAAAGGTTAGGCAACTTTGTCAAGCCACTTAATCAGTTGAGATATAAAAATGTCTTTTGTACAGTAGGGCACCTGCAGTTCTGATTTCAAGTACCTGCTAGTGCATCCCTATTGACCTGGGACTTCATTGCTTTATAACCAGAGGCAGTTCTATGCCTATCATTTTCTTATGTGTTTCACAGTCACCTAATGACAGTAATGATAACTCAGGCAAATTCGTAGGGAGAAAGGTATCACTAACATCTTAGTGATAGAATCAATTTGTAAAAATATTTTGCAAGATGGAAAATTGTTCAGAAATTTAGTAAATGCAATTGAACAAGGAAAGTTATTGGCTGGTACCCTTGAGGGGAGAAATATTCAAGTTCCTTAAATAAAAATGGAGAGTTAAGTTCCCACATGAAACAGGTTGTAATATATTACAAGACAGAAAGAAGTAGGTTGTGCTAGAGAAATTTTTTGGTTAGCTTTTAAAGTGAATTAATTTAATGAATGCCTATCATGTGCCAGAAACTTCTGAGGCTGGGCACTCAGCAATGCACTAAACACACCTAAGTCCTAAATCTCTGCCTTGGAAAAGCTTAAATATATGATCCATGAGGTTACTTTTTGTGTTAAAATGTGTCCATACTTTATATCTACTTGTAAATTACAAGATGTTTTATGAATTCTGTGGTGAATCATCCTCTAAAGTGAATTACCATGTTCTTGCATGCCTGCTGTATGAATTTAATGACTACTGTAGGTTTTTTCTTAACGGGAACTACAGCTGTGTTTAGTGCTTGGCATACATGAATGCTGTGTTTGGTTTCCTAGTCTGAAGCGAATTAGTGACACAGATTAGTTGAAAATGGTTCTGAAAAAAAAATTAGTTGAAAAGGAAGCTAACAATGTAATTTGAAATTTGTTTTTTTTTTTTAAGTTTTTTTATTTGTATACTTTTTTCTTTTTTTTCTTAATTTGTTTTAATTAGTTATACATGACAGTAGAATGCACTTATATACTTTGATATATCATATATAGATGGGATACAATTTCTCATTTTTCTGAGTATACATATTGTAGAATCACATTGGTCATACAGTCACATATAATTTGAAATTGGGGAATTTTTTTTTTCTTTTTTTGAGAGGTCATAAAGAAAAAATTCATCTCAAGAATACTCAAATAAAAGAAATGGTCTTCCACACATTAAGAGCAGTTCATTTTAACTTATTGTCATAGGAAATTTGCTCCCTAGATTCTTATCTTTGCTGATACTTTAAAATGTTGTCCAGACTTCGACATAATAAATACCAGAATAAAAGACATTCTGGAAAAGTAGGATTTAAATTTTGAATTAAATTACTGTGGAATGATTTTGAGTTTAATTTTATCAGAACAAATGTGAATTAAAATGGACTAAAATTTACTCTGAAGGATGCTCTCAAATCTGGAGGTACTTTTTTTTTTTGTTCTTTTAATTAAGAGACTCTGTTTATACCAATTGTATGGCATATCTTCCGGGTTTTAAAAGTAATTCTGGAAACAAATAAAGTTTTTTATTTACATCCAGGTAAACTATTCCACATAGACTTTGGTTATATTTTGGGTCGAGATCCAAAGCCTCTTCCTCCTCCAATGAAACTGAATAAAGAAATGGTAGAAGGAATGGGGGGCACACAGAGTGAGCAGTACCAAGAGTTCCGGAAACAGTGTTACACAGCTTTTCTCCACCTTAGAAGGTAAGTGGATTTTCTTGATACAGAGAATTTTAGTATTATTATAGATCACATGAACAAGTTATTCAAATGCATCATTAGCATCACTTTCTTTTTCAAATGACTGGAAACAGTATTTTTTAAAGTATTTGTTTAGTTGTGGATGGACATGATAACTTTATTTTGTTTGTTTATTTATTTATTTTTATGTGGTGCTGAGGATCAAACCCAGTGCCTCACATGAGCTAGGCAAGTGCTTTACCAGTGAGCTGCATGTGTGTTACCACTGTGCTATAATCCCAGCCCCCAGTATTTCTTAATTTATATTTTGACATCTATTTTGATAAAATCTGATATCAAAGGGGAAAGATATACAATTTCTTGCTTTCCCACTAATTATCACATTACCAAATTTGGCCAACTAGGAAGTTGGCATTATGCAAGTGTAGGAAAACAGGGAGCTTTCAAGGTCAGGGGCATGACCTCATCTTACTGAACATGCTTTGCCAATTTTGACAGTACTAGGATAGAAAGAACGTTAGAGACTTCATACCTTTCAGATCTCCTTGAAGGCAATCCTGGATTGTTTCAGTCATCATGCTTGAGTCTGAAGAATGAAGACTTTAACTTATTTAGAGTGATATTAGTTCAGTCAATTTGGATCTTTACCACCTTTATCAATTTGAATTCTGAATGCTCTTCAGGAACATTTAGAATTTTGTTTATTGATTGAAGCGTGAATGTTATATATGATTTCCTTTTTCTTTAATGCCTCATCACTCATTCTGCTATAAAAATGTTGATTTTTTTTTCCTCTATCCCTTCTTTTTTCTTCAGTGTCACGCTCTGCTTTCTTGATTCTGATTTGCATAAGACTGAATAATGAATCATCAGGGAAAAAATGTCATGTTTATTAAATTCAGGACATGGTTCTTATGATTAGTTAAAAATGACAGGATTGTTTGACTCCTGAGGTATTTTAACCTAACTGTGGAAAAATGAATCTTTTTTAGTCCAGCAGAAAATTCCAGTGTGGGAGACATGACCACATACTCTCCAGGTGAAAATTTAATCATTAGGAAGAGAGTTGCTTGTGCAAGTGGCTTCTGTTACAGTTTTGTTTTTGTTTGTTTTTCTTTGTAATCTCAGTTACTCGTGTTGGACTTGAAACATAGGCAGTCAGTGTATGTTTCTTGAATGAAAATTCTCAGTATTTTAAGAAAACCCCCAAAATCTTTGCTTTGAGGTCGAGTTCCTGAGTGATTTTGATGCTGCTAGTCTCAGAAGAATAGCAGTACTATATTAATCAGGTTTCACTTTTTGCAAGGACTAAATGCACTTACTTTATAAACTCTTTCATGTGTCACAAACTTTACACCATGCATTTTACAAATGGCTGGTTTATTTATACTTTGGGTGGCAGAATAACTGAGTTTTACTCTCCAGCAATGCTAAAAAAATAATGAGATGATTAGTGTTCTTTTGATCTGCTTGGTGATGCAATAACACTTTCAGAGAGAAGAGAGTTCCACTTAAATATCTGGGGTTTGTAATTTAAAATAGTCAAAGCCTGTAGAAAACTAGATGGAACCATGGTGATTTCAGTGAAGAGGCAGACAGGATGTTCTGGAATGATAGCTAGAGAGTGTCAAAGGTGTTCTATCTTACTGAAAGCAGAAGGAAAACAATGTGCTTTATAAACTGTCATTGATAATGGATTAGTAACAATTCAGTAGAATGAGAAAACAGAAGCAAGTTATTAATCTGGAGATGAAGTTAACTTTCTTAAATTCAAAGAAAAATCACAAAGAGATTAATATTAATAATCTTGTGCTAGATTTTCATGAGAATTGTTCTTTTCTTTTTAAAATTTTCCTGTCATTTAAGTTCAGGTAGACTCTAATATTTTGATAAACGTTGCCCCACCCTCCACCAGTACCGGTGATTTAACTCTGGGTCTCTCACATGCCAAGCAAATGTTCTACTCCTGAGTTATATCCTGGGTCTTTTTTTTTTTTTTTTTTTTTTTTTTTTTTTTTTTTTTAAATTTTAAGACTGTCTTGCTAAGTTGCCTGGCCTTGAACTTGGATCATCCTCCCTCAGCCTCCTAAGTAACTATAAGTTAGGTAGATGTGCCCCATCTACCTGGCTAATACTTACTTTTAAGAGTATGGTTTATTCATTTAAAAACCTTGTTGGACTAAGAAAATTATATAGTTGGGTTGGAAATACCATTAGAGTCAAGTGATCCTGTCATTTTGCCAGAGGTGGGGGTTGGGGGTTGGGGGTTTTACCAGGGATTGAACTCAGGGGCACTAGATCTATTTTGTAGTTTTTATTTAGAGACAGGGTCTCACTGAGTTGCTTAGTGCCTCACTTTTCTGAGGGTGCCTTTGAACTCACGATCCTCCTGCCTCAGCCTCCCAAGCTACTGGGATTATAGGTCTGCGCCACCATGCCTGGCAGATACTGTCATTTTTAACTAATCATCAGACATGTCCTGAATTTAACAAACATGACTTTACTTTTTTTTCTTACTAAAATTTTTATTAACTTTATGTTTTTTTTTTTTGGGGGGGTTTGGGGTTGTAGTTCATTGATAGAGCACTTGCCTAGCATGTGAGAGGCACTGGGTTCAATCCTCAGCACCATGTGAAAATAAATAAATAAAAAATATAGGTGTTGTGTCTATATACAACTAAAAAAATATTTTTTAAAAAAGCCTTTGGAATATAAGAATTTAACCAGATGGTCAAAAGTTTGTTGGGATGCCTTTTGAACTAAGTCTATGAATGTTTACAGTTGTGTAGAGGAGAGAACACATTTAATGGTGTGATGATTTTCATTCAACAGAATATTTTACCATCTCTTATAAATTAGTACATATTGCACTAGTTTTGAATTCTCATGGCAACAATTCTAATGCTGAAACATTTTTAAATCTTATGTGTTCAAGGAGAATATAGCTTTTCTTCCTAACCCATGTTTATGCAAATAGCATGATAGACACTAATGATGCAAAGATGGCTTTGCATTTTTACCTCAAAAGGGGTAAAAACATCCAATGCAGAAATTAGGAATTCACTTAACTATATCAAGTAAGACTCTTATATTGTCTCAAAGAATGTTTGATGAATCATCGCACATCAGTGAATTTGTTGGTCTCCCCACATTTCTCCATTAACTATAGTGTTTCTACTTCTTGGAGTAGTATACTTATTAAATATTTTTACATAATTCAGCTAATGTTTGTCCCATGCAAAATGATTAGTTATAGGAGAGTTAGACCTCAGATGTAGTGAATGATCTTTACATCATGTAATTAAATGTACTTTTTGACACTAAAGATTTTTCCTGAAAAATTTAAGCCATCTGTATTTAACTAGTGGGTAGCATAATGATTGATATAAAATAGATAAGAAATAGGGTATGTTTTCCTTGAACACTATAGCAGACCTATTCCTTTTATAACCTTAGTCTATGTCTAGACTCAATTTTGCATAATTTCCTACCCTATCATATTTTAACTTTAATCTTTTGTCTTTGAATACTGATTTTTATGATTTCTTGTATTCCTTAATCATATTTTGCTGAGTAGAAGATTAAATGACTGTCCTACTTAAATACATACTTTTTATTTTATTTTTTAAAAATATTTTTTAGTTGGACATGATACCTTTATTTTATTTATTTATTTTTATGTGGTGTTGAGGATCGAACCCAGCGCTCGCATAAGCTAGGCAAGCCCTCTACCACTGAGCCCCAGCCCCCATACTTTTTATTTTAGATATTCTTTCTTAAGTAGAAAATGCAAGTTAATGACAACAGCCATAAAAGAAACACACATTATGCTAAAGTCACGTGTTTTAACATAGGTCTTCACTGTTCATTAAATTACTTGTGGTTCTGGGGTATTGACGAGAGAACAGTTCAGGTCCTCCTCAGAATTAATTGACCTGGGATGAGGATCAGGCCTTAATATGTTTAAAAAACCCTAAGGTGAATCTACTGGGCAGCCAGGTTTGAGAACTTCTGATATATCACTTTAAAAATTGATTCTTATATTTCCTTCCTGTGTATGGTAGATTCCTAAGGATTTCCCCATAAAAAGATGGGAAGAAACTATAAAATAACAAAGCAGAGCATGAATAATCAAGGGTTAGTTGAGAGAGCATCTTCTTCTTCTTTTTTTTAAATAGCATAGTATGAAATGGCTAGCTGTACTCTACTACCACCTCCATTGCGGCCCTCTCAAATGGATCTTTATTTTCTTAAGAGAAGGGCTTGGTGCCCCTTTTGCTCCCTGTTAATATTTTCAACCCATTTCTTCATTTGAAAAGCATTGACAGAATCTTTTATTAAAGATGACACTGTCAGATACATCTACTGTGTCCATCTGCCTACCTCTGCAGCACTGTCATTGTGTGAAAACTTTCATTGTCATCTTCATGACTCCTGCTGTGGCTTCAGCATCCACATAGGGCTAGTCTTTTGGGGCTTGTCTTTCTCATTTATAGAGTCTGCCTTGGCCACTCTCGTTAATCAATATTAGAAAATTTTTTTCTCTAAAATCTTAATCCCTAATTTCATACTCTAAGCAAAACTTTCTTTATAGTTTTTTTTTTTAATCCTTTTTATTCTTTTTCTAAGACAGGGTGTCACTATGTTGCCCAGACTGGCATTAAATTCTTCGGCTCAAGCCATTCTCTCCCCCTTAGCCACTTGAATAGCTGGGACTGCAGACAGGTGCCACTGTTCCCTATTTCTCAGCATATTATTAGATGAGCCTTTCTTTCTGTAGTTCTTCTACTTCACTGATAATGTTGTCTCATTAGTCTGCCACCACTGTATAATCTACCTCATGTTGTCTTTTTGTTTCCCTTTCCCCCTAAATTTTATTGCCTAAGAATACAGTCACTCTTACTGTCCTTCCCTCTAAATCCCATCTGGCAATTTTATCTAGTGCTGTTTCTTCATCTGCCAAAATCCCAGCTCTGGTCATGTGTCCAGAGGGACAATTCTATGCCACTGAAGAAAATCCCAACAATAATCATGTTCTCACCACTGGGTTTTAAATCACTGGTTGTCAGTTTGGGGCTATTTTGAACTCCCTTTACCCTGGAGGGCACATTTTGATAATGTCTGGAGACATTTTTAGTAGTCACAGCTGGATTAGTGCCACTGGCATTGAGTGGGAGAGGCCAGGATTATTGCTGAACATGACTTTGCTGTCTTTCTTCATGCTCCTTCATAGCAAACCTGCATTCTCTCTCTGCTAACCTCCTTTGTAGCCCCTTTTATTTCTTCCGCCTTCTGCATAAGGCTTTCATTTCTATTCTGCTAATAATACTTTTATCAAAGTGAATTATTAGTTATACCAAATACAGTAGCCATTTTTGTTTCCTAGCAACTTTTGACACAATTGACCTCCTTGTTCCTGAAAACCTTCCTTTGATTTGTTGTAACCCACTTCTCTGTTTTTGTTTTGCCTACTGCACAGTCCTGTTTCTTCACTGATTTATTCCTCCTTTTGCCTTACATTCTGCATATTGAACTGTGTAGAAGTTTTATTGACTTTATAGAGGGTTTAGTGTTAGATCTTTTCTTTCCACTGAAGTCTTTCTTTACCCATTTTTAATCCAGTCCAATGAATTTTAAGCATGAATCCCCTGCTGTTGGCTTCCAGCTAATACAATCAGCCCTGGTAACCCCTCGATGTTTATCTGGCAGCCTATCTTGACCTTTGTCCTAAGACTTGTGGACATCTTAAACTCAGTGTGTATAAAATGAAATTCTTGATTTCTTACCTAAAATCCTATTTTTCCTCCATTCAGACTTTCCTGTTTTGATGAGTAACTCTCAGTTACTTAAGCTAACTCCTTGGCAACATTCTGTTCCTCTGTCTTCTCACCCTACCTCCGTTGAACTAAGCAGTAGTATGGTCTACTATATCCCCAAAATATAGCCCAGTAGCCTGTATGTTGTGTCTTTTTCACCTGGAAGTTTGTGTTACGTTTCCCTACCTCCATTCATACTCCCCACAAGATGGCCAGGGTGAGATTTTTTTTTAAATGCATATCAGAGTACATCACCTACTTTTCAAACTCAATTGCTTCTCAGTGCATTTGGAGTAAAACATAGTTCTTTAGGATGCTCCTTCTCCCCAACCCTGTCAATTTCTGACCCATTTCCCTGGGTGGTTTTCCTTTTAAAAATCATTTTACCTATAAAACAGACACAAAAGTATCTTTATCAGTTTATCATGTGAGATTCCACCCTCCTCCACAGTTTAAATTTCATGAATGTGAGAATCTTGTTTATTCAGTACACTACTATATCCCTAGTGCCTAAAATAATATATATTGTATGTGTTGGGTAAATGAATAAAATTGTGTGAGTAGAAATGGGATATCTGCAGTATGCTTTTATCAGTTCCCACAGGAAATCAGTAATTTAAAGGTAGTTTAAAGCTGTTTAGTTTTTATTATAACTTTTTAAAAGTATAAGTGGATTAGGACCAATTTGATTACAAAACTACATCAAGTTAGAAGTTTTCATTTTAGTCCCTCTTGATTTTCATAGGCAATATAAAATTCAGAAATAATGATAAAATAGGTAATTTAAAAAAACCATACATAGATAGCCATATTGTATTCAAGTTCAAGTATTAAACAGTTGTAACAGCTTGTGCATTTTTTATTATAGAGAGGTAGGTGACTAGGATAAAGATATTGCATACTGAGGCCTGGGGTTGTAGCTCAGCGGTAGAGCACTTGCCTAGCATGTGTGAAGCCCTGGGTTTGATCCTCAGCACCACTAAAAATAAAGGTATTGTGTCCAACTACAACTAAAAATTAAATATTAAAAAAAAAAGATACTACATACTGAGACTCCGACCTCTGTCCCCTAGAGAAGACAAAGTAAGGCACTTGTATTGATGCTTCCTCTGAAAATAGCTGCTAAAAACGTCATTGCTTAAAACCAAAACTTCTTGTGCTCATGTCTATCCTCACTTTCAAACTTGAATTCCTTTTTATCACAAGCAAGCTAATAAGAAGGGCCCACCTAGGACATAAATGCTCCAGGAGAGAGTGTTGTAGAGCAGGATCCAGGGTGTGTCTAGAGCAGACTGAGACTTCTCTAAGGCTCCACATGTGCATTTGGAATAAGTAGCCTCCTTTCTCCTTGTTCAAGGGAAAAGGAAGAGTTTGAGAATTAGTAAAGTCTTAGTTTTTGCTAGAGGCAAGCATATTCAAAAATATTAGATATTTTGACCAGTTTCAAAGCAGTAGACTACTAACCACTTATGTTCAAACCACTACTAACTACTTATATTCAAACTAACTACTTATATTCAAACTAACTACTGAAAAGAATGTCATTATTAACAATGAAAAAGAATGTCATTATTAGACAGTTACTCTAAAATTCTACTTTATAGTGACCTAGACATGGTACTGTATGAACACCCAAAGATAAGATTGTTTTCAAGAGACAGATAATGAAAAGTCTGAAGTAGTATTAATCGTTATAAAGATCCGAATACCACTACTTACAGAAATGTTCTTAGTATGGTAAAGAAATGCCAGATTCTAATTCATCGCTGTGTTTTTCTCTTTTTGTTGGTCTCCTTTAGGTATTCAAATCTGATTTTGAACTTGTTTTCTTTGATGGTTGATGCAAACATTCCAGATATTGCTCTTGAACCAGATAAAACTGTGAAAAAGGTAATTTTTGTACATCCTCAGATACCATGTTTAGTTTACTTTTCATATATAAAAAAAGTTTAGGGTTTTAGCAACTCACTTCCCCATATTGTCTCAGCCTGTGAATTATTAAATAATATAAACTAAGAGACCTTTTGTATGATTTTTTTTCAAATTTTAGAATGTACTAGTCTCTCAAGTTGTCTGAATCCAGTTTGTTCTGCTCCCTGCCTTGTTCCTGCCCAAAGAGGATACCATATCTAGAGAGAGAGTTTATTACTACAAGCCTTGCTTGCTCTTTGTTCCTTTAACATTTAAAATAAGACTAATGGCACTCCCAAGAGAAAAATGCAGAGACTGTAATATCATATAGGAGAAAACAGCCACTTTTTTTCCTTTCCATCCATACCTTGGATTATGTTTTTGTTTATTTGTTTTGTTACTGTGTCAGAGGGGTAGAGACTTCTTTAACTCAACCTGAAAAGAGAACAGTATTTATGTATGATGTATCATATTGCATTCTACTGTCAAGTATAGCTAATTAAAACCAATTTTAAAATTATATAAAAAAAGAGAAAGGACATCAAAGGAAAACCATCATGTAGTCAGTTTTCCACAGGTATTTTATCTTGAATTCTAGCAAGAGATGGGAGGAAAGGCAGTGGATTTGAAGGTTCTTATCTGAATTAATTTCTCATTATCTAAATCATTGAAAGGAAAGCAATAAATAAAGCATACTATTTATCCAAAGGTAACATAAGATGATATTAGATATCAATATGATATGATTTTCAACTTACAGAAGTATAAAAATCTCTTGAGTGTTGGCACTCTCAGAGGTGGAATTGATCTGGTATTCGTAAAATTATAAAGAGCACCTTAATGCTCTAATTTCTAATATATCTGACTTTGAACAATATTAGGTACCTCTGACTGAACCAAATGAGAGTAATCTTTCCTAATTTTATACATCATTAGCAAACAATGAGGAATTTTAATATAAATGTTTTATTATTTAAACATTTTGGAAAAGTATACTTTTATCAAAATTCTTTTTTCTTCTCAATAGCACATTGACTTTTCCCATTTATTCATTTTTTTCAGCCAGCACTATTCAATAAAAATTAATTTTTTCTTCAGCAAAAAATAGATTATTTACCACACTACTTTTGGGCATGTCCTATTTTTTAATCATTGTATTTCTTTTTATTGACTAAAGCTCATCTATCAGGAAATACAATTGGTTGATGAAAATTTCTTTAGCTGTAATCAATGACTCTTCTATTTCAAATGTTGCTTTTTTTTGTTGTTTCAATCTGTTATATTCAGGATCTTTTTGCTGTTTATTTTAAATCCATTTACCTGATGTCTGTCATATGTTCACTTTTCCTTGACTACAGAATGTTCAAAAGTCATTTATGAAAGTTCTAGCAGTATTTGTCAAATTGAGTGAGGCAGTTTGTTTGGCTAGTTAAGCAGTTTTCTTCTGCTTCTTATTAGATCCATCTCTGTCTATTTTAGGAAGTCCCGAGAGTTCCCTGTTGTTACCAGCTATCTTTATAATATTGTGTTTTAAAACATAAAGCAATTCATTTCATGATAAAAGCAAAGAACAAAAGCATCATATTTAGTCATTTTTATTTTAGCCTAGAGTTCTCTAGTTGTTTATTATGGTTTCAGTTAAGTAAATCTTTATTTAAAAAAAGCATTTGGGCATATTGTTTCTTAAAAGAGTATTATAAATTTTTTTTTTTATTTTCTGATGTTTTATCAATAATGTGAAGTCATCAGTTTCAACGTGAACTTGGAATTTAAATAATATAATATTGAAAAATTGGGATTGGCTAAAATTTATGTTTCATATTGGTTGATATTTTTCAAGAAATAGATTTTTATACTTTGATGATTATGATTACGAACACTATTTCATAGTGTTACTAATTGGAAAATTTTCACAGTGGCCTCAAATCAAAGCCAGCTAGAGAAACAAAATAGTGTTTGTCTTCAAAGAAGTAGATTATTCATATTATTTGAGTGATCATAACAACATGACAATGATACTTTTTTGTCTCCATAACTTAATATAGTATCAATTTTTTTCAACTTTTTGGAAACAGGTTATGTGACATTTTTGTTAATTAGAATTATTTATTTTTTTTGAAAATATGGCTGTCCAAAAATGTGAGATGGATTTGATGAGATTTAATAACAAAATATGGCATTTCAAAAAATAGCAGAAACAGGAAAGTCTTTCTCTGACCTCCTACCACTCTGTGCTAAAGCAGGTGGTAAAAGAATTCTCTGGCCAACATTTCAGAGTGGGCCTATTCCAAACCTGTGAAAAAGAAATGTCACATAATGATGCCAAGAAAAACCTGAACAGAGATTCAGCTTCCTTCATTTTGTTTCCATTTGATCATACCCTTTTTTGTTAGTCTAATCATATTTCTATACAACGATTCTATTTTTTATCATATTTAAGATAAGATATATACAGTTTTTTCTGTTTCTTAGTATCTTCATATTCTGCAGGCTCCTGTGTTGCATAAAGCATTATATTACATATTATAAATAAATTTATATTACTTTGTTAATATTTTAGGGCGGGTGTGGGGGTTCACTGGTAGTTTAACCCAAGGGCAATTTACCACTGGGCTATATTCCCAGAGTTTTTTATTTTTGAGACAGGGTCTTGCAAAGTTTCCCAGGCTGCCTCAGCCTCCACCATAACTGGGATTATAGGCCTATGCCACCACACCGAGCTAATATGTTTTTTTATGTAGACATCACGGCCATGAAACTCGTGATGGGTGAGAAATATTTTCTCCCCCTACAGGATCAAAATTTTACACATAAAGTTATAAGTCAAAAGTGTTAATTGAGTGGTTATTATACTTTAGTGTGTCATGCAGTGCTTAGTTCTGTAAGAAGCTTACTTAAAAAATTATTTTAATTCTTTAAAGCTAATCATTTATAGCAAAGGTATCTAATAAAAATAATACATACTGTTAAAAACAAAGTATTGTGTTGTTAGTATAACTAAAGCTTAGCGGATAGAATGATTTTCAGCAATGAGCAAATCAATCTTATTAGTATAGTGAGTAAATATAATGTTTATGATTCCTACAAATATTAGCAAGTATTCATATGAAATATTTGTCATGCAAAAATAGAGATGTTTATGTAACAAATGCCCATTACTCATCAGTCATTTATAACAAATGTTAATCTTTTACCTATTTACATTAGATCATATTTTATTAATGAATGAAAATGCTATACTCAGTATTAAGTTGTGCCCATTCACATTTTTTAATAAGGGTAATCATTCTTTCATACTTTGGGCATCATTTTCCTATGAATGTATTCTGTACTTTATTCATTTACTCTAGTATTTTTTTGCTCTCTATTGTCTGTGAAGCACTGTCATAGTGTGTTTGTCACAGAAAAAAATATATGATAAAAATGTCCCTGACTTATCTTCTAGTTAATGAAACAGACAAGAAATCAGTAAGTAAATACTATTAGGTAAAGGTCAATGTTATAGGGAAACTAAAAAGGATGAATTTTGAGTTGGAATTGACATTGGAGATTTTAGATTTGGTAGCCAGGAGAAGATATGAACTCTTTGGAGAAAATTCAGAGATATTTTATAATCCTGTGGTCTAGAGGTAAGACTTCTTTTAAACTTCTATAACACTGGGATGAAGGAACCTTAGAACATTTGATACTTAAAAAAAATTGTATTCTCTACCAATTATTAACTTTGCTTACTAGGGTTAGGGTAACTGAAGGAAAACAGTACCTTCAAGGAGTTTTAGATGTCTGCTTTTTTATACGACTCTTTAGGAAAATAAACAAAACAATAAATAGAAGACCGAGTGCAGTGAATAAGCATATAAACATGATTGCTGAACTGCCAGTGCTTTTTAATAAAAAAATAATTTTTAATAATTAAATTTTTAATAATTTAAAAAAAATTAAATTATGGTAACAAGGTTATTCAGAGTAATTTTAGGTAACTATTTTGTTTTGAAGAATTAAATGTATGTTTCTCTAAATTTATGTCTTACTAAACTTTAAAACAAAGGATTTAAATATAAGCAGCTACAAAACAGCTGAGGATCTATTTCAAATGACCTGTAAAATTAAATCACCTTTGATGCCTATAAGATTAACAAGTATACAAATCATAGTGCCTATTCTGATGGAATTTTGGCAATGTAAGTGTTTGGGATTTTTTGTGGTGGTGTTTTTCTTTTTCCTTTATAGTAATTTGTCATGTTTTACTTCAAACAATTTCAGCATTCTCTTTTAGCAGTAGTTGGATGGTACTTCAGTTTTTATTGTTTTTGAAAAAACTACTCTTTTAAATTCTTGTTTTTATTCAAGTAAAGGATTTTTGTTTAATTTTAATGATGCTCAGTTAATAAATGAATTCAGCAAGAAAATGTTTACATTGAAACTTTTCCTTTCATCCTAATGAATCAGATTTGTTCCTTTGTTAATCACTTTGTGATTAAATTATTTTAAATTGGTTCAGGAAAAACTTTCTAATTCTAATTTTTTGAATAAGAAGAATTTCATGACTCTGCTTTTCTTATTTTAATGAAAGTTGTTATTTTAGAAATGCTAAACACTAAATTATTTTAAACAAATATCTTTTTTTTCTATGTTAATGTTTAGTCTTTTAAATGTTGTATTTTGAGTTATGTAAGGGTAAAGATTAGTTATAACACTGTGTTTCTTATGCAGGTGTATATAGCTTAGTCTTGTGCTGAGGGTTTTGTTTCAGAATAGCATTGCACACCTAAGAATGTAGGTGCCAAAAGAGTGTAAGTTAATTTTAATTCTTGTGCCAAAGGAGTCTTATTAAGGAAGTTGGGGCCTAATCTCATATGATGGAGATTAGGGCCTACTTTTTCTTCTATTAGACACAGGGTCTCTGGTTTTATTCCTAAATCCTTGATCCATTTTGAGTTGAGTTTTGTGCATGGTGAGAGACAGGGGATTAAATTCAT